TGGTCCTGACACTCCGGTCCTGGTATAAGCGTGGTCCTGAATCTCCGGTCCTGGGATTATGTGACCTGACACTCCGGTCTTGGTATTAGTGTGGTCCTGAAACTCCGGTCCTGGTATTAGTGTGGTCCTGAAACTCCGGTCCTGGTATTAGTGTGACCAGACACTCCGGTCCTGGTATTAGTGTGACCTGCTATCTGACTGTAAAGTAGTACTAGCGCGGAATTAGATTAGATTTGCTATCTAAGTCGGTGGTACTAGTCATTGGTTGCATGCTATTCATGTTATCTCTTTCTCATTGGATATTGTTGCTAGGGTATTTACACTAGATCACATACATATATTTTGTAATAGGGTTTGTAAAGGCATTGAAAAGGAATAATCCTGCAGTTATGCGACGTAACCTTGTTCACAACATGCGTATGAGAGAAACACCACAGTACCACCTGACCAACTGGTTAACAGTTGTCCGCTCTTTGACGCACTGACCACCAAATTATATATAAATTCTCAGCATAACTACGCGAGCATCTACATACACATCTATCTTAAACTATACTATTACTGCTTACTAATAAATAATGTTGTTTGTAGACAGACAGACAGTCTTTATTTCCAATTTTACAAGAGATTAAAGTCAATCAAAACATACATATATGCTCACATTTCAATTTACATATAGATAGCGTTCATCTATAGAAAAAGAAGAGAGTTACAATAATGTGTCCATCTCACTCACCATTCTTTCTAGATTAATTGGCATATTGATCATCATATTTTTCCACTCGTAGTCTTCTAGTAGTATATTCACACGATCTCCTAACAAGAAACTACAGTGGTTTTCATCCTCTAAGTTTGTAGATGAAATATAGGAGGGAACTTCTAAAGCATTCACCACACCATCCATCATTAAGTCCCGCGTTTTAAACAATTTCGGACCCTCAAGCGGAAAATAAAAAGACAATATCAGCAGTAGATTTACCACAAAGATTACATAATACATTATCGCGTTCAAATGTAAATGAATATTTCATGAGCTCTATTAACTGCCACATGCATTTATGCGATTTTTGCTTGGTACTCAGTTCTAATATGGGGTGGATTCCCTGATAACTGTGTATGGCAGAATAACGAAAATCGAAGCAATTCCGCTTTTGTAGATAGTGTATCTCTCCACTGTATGTGATATAATCTGTAATAAATCTTTTAATAAAACGTTTCCAGCATAATTTTGGAGGTACAAATATGTTGGTGAAAAAGTCAATTAAAAATGGTTCTATATCAAACTTTTTCAAGATGCTGAATACATCTGGACTAAATCCTACAATACAATGCCTGTATAAACTGCTTACTAATAAATAATGCTGTTGGTAGCCATCTTAGCTTTTTGGAAAGCTAATACTTGTGTTATATACTAGAAGGGAGGACAGTTGTCAATTTCGAACATTCAAAATCGCATTTCTAGTTGACGTACAAAAATGCTTGGTACCGCTGGGAAGATAGATATTTTTTCTTTCTTTTAAAATACTCCTATATAAACGTAAAATGTATTCTACTTCTGCAGACATGTACTCCGTTTCCTCTAAAACACACGCCATTTCCAGTTTCAAATATGTTTACAGTCAAAGAGACACTTTTTTCCATATTCATGAGGTTGACGTCAACCACGTGCCGAAATATGAAATGTTGATTGGCTGGTAATTTTAAGGGTAGAAATGGCTGCGCTTTTCGGAATCATTCCAGCCATTCCACCATATGTTTCGGAACGTGGCTAACGTCACCTTATGAATGCAATGGCATATTTTTACTGACAGTTGATTGAAACCGCTAAAACATGTAAAATTACTCTAAACACCTTAGTTTAGGTCCAAATACGTATACAATGTATAGTTGTACAAATTCTCAGGTCCCTGTGGTACCGACATTGTAGAAAGAATAGTGAGCCGCTCCGTCGTTAGGAATGAGGTTTATCGGTGTCGGGTACAGAACAATAAACGTAAAATCATAAAAAACAAATAGTGTAAGTGATAAAATATATAAGATCCGTTTGAATCGTTTTCAAGTAGACAAGAATGTCTTTCAGTCGCCAAACCTGTGGTCTAAGCCAATAGAACCGACTTTAAACAGCCAATCGAATCCGACCTTTAAACAGCCAATGAATTGTCAACTTACAAAATACAACATATGATCTTAGCTCACTTGAGTGAATCTGTTTGGAATCGTTGACGCGTGAGCAGTGTTTAGTGTCAGGAGTGTAGACTTTAGGTAACACTAGCTCGGCGTGCATCTGTAGTGGTTACCTACCGGCGCACCTGACAGGACGTGCTCAAGGTCCCGAGAATTATTATACAGGTCGTATATCTTAATTTATTACCAAGTGTTAATAATAGTGCGTGCTATTCAATAGTGCATCATCATTTAACTTGGACAATTTAGAAGAACATTCAAGTTGGATTAAGGAGGCCTGATGTTGGAGCTCTCTAAATAGTGAGGTACCAAAACGTCACGTCTTTTAATTGGTGAGTACCAAGCGAGTCCTACATGCGTTGATTTAATGTGTTATAATTATTTTTGCTGGTGTATGAAATTGTTACTTGAAATTGACAGGTCACTTTTTGAGATACCGGGAATTTTTGTAAAGGACATCTCTCAAATATCAGATAGATTTTAATACCGCCGCTTGGACAATGGCAGGGAAACAATGAAATATTAACTGTGTTATAACGCACAAATGGCGTCTGATGTAAAGTGTCGTTCGTTGTAAGACGACTGTCAGAATTGTGTCTTCTCGCTGTAAGTTCTACATTGCTTAAGCTTCAGTCACACATTCAGGATTTTTACTGCCGTCCTTGATAGGACCACTCCCGATTAAAATTTGTCAAAAGTCTGATCAAGATCAAGAAAACATTTTTTTAATCACGACAACAATCAGATATTGTTCAGGAAGCGTCCCGATTCAGCCGTTTCCAGACGAATGAGTCCCGATTCTCCCGTTCTCAATCCGAATCTGATCTGATTTGTATCTTCCGCATTGTAAAAAACGACCGAATCTGTCCCGACAGCGTTACGATTCTCCCGAACGCGACCCGACAGAGATCAGACAGTGACTGGACAGTGGAACGACGCATTCGGCAAGATCTGGACGCTATCTGGACTTAATCGGCAAGAAACGGCATTGAAAAATGTCTCCAAATATTGCCCGTTCATCACGACAGCGTCCCGATCCCCATGACACCGTCCAGACAACACAAGATATTGTTACGATTTTGATCCGATACAGCAGAATCCGTCACGGCATAGTCACGATTGTAATCCGACTAGACAAAATCGGCTGAGTTTCCCGAATGTTACGGTACGCACCTAACTGTCGGGAGTGCTTGGCCAACCTCTCCGGACCATTCCCGATCCATAGGACTCTGTTACGAACGTATACGACTACGTTCAGACAATGATAGGACATTCCAGATAATTGGGGATAGTTATCCGACGTTTTCGTGTCGTAGCGCAGTCTGATCTCAAACGGGAGCCACAATCGCCACTGTGTGAACGTCGCATTATAAAGTACTACTATACACATCAACCAGAGCTTCCGCCACACGTTCTGTCTCTATTCCTTTGAGCGCTACAGCCTCCGGATAACGTGTTGCGTAATCTGCAATTGTCAAAATATACCGATTTCCTCGGTCGGTCACTGGTTGTAGAGGTCCAACAAGATATATTGCCACTCGTTGAAACGGGATGTTGATCAGAGGCATAGTACCAAGGGGTACTTTAGATACACGTCCTTTTGGAAAAGTCCTCTGACATTCATCGCACGATCGACAAAATCTTGTTATGTCACTGCTTGCTCCAGGCCAGTAGAACTCAACCATAACACGATCACTCGTCCGCTTGGCGCCAAGATGTCCCGACATCATGGAATCATGCGCGAGTCGAAGTACGGCATCCCGATACTTTGTTGGTACCACAAGCTGTTTAAAAGTCCGTCCATTAGCCACTGCAGGACTCTGATATTTTCTATAGATCAATCCATGCTGCTTGAAAAATTTGGACTTCCCTCCATCACGTCTTTCCTTGACATCCTCTCGCATAGCCATACCTCTAGCTGTACTTAAAGTAGGGTCTTCCTCTTGAGCTTGCTTGATGTCAGCTGGTTGCACATCCACCAATGCCTTTGGTATTTTGAGTGGACGATATGGTTGTTCTTCACGTTGAGCTTGCGCTCTCGTTTTTACTGCAGCTACACGTTCCTTACCATAATCCCAACTAGAATCCGGATCATCTGGTGCTCTTACGCCTTCAATGTTTCCTAAGATTAGTTCATAGATTGGATTCTCCATACACCAAGCATCTACTGAGCCAACATAGTAGGGCGTATCTACCAACACCTTTGCAATCGGTACTTGGAGATGACTCCCATTAGTTAACTGAGCCTTTGTAGCCAAAGTCCGTTTAAGCACCACGCCACTACATCCAGTGTCCCTCAACACAGTCACTAGTTGGTTGCCAACCAATCCTTCAACCACCGGCATCCTACTCTGTGCTATGCCTGTCCTATGTGTTTCATCTATCACCTCATTGTCTACATCAGGAAGTTCTGTTAACCCTTCATTGTGTTTCACCAAACCCCTTTTCCAATTTCTAGGTCTCCGTTGGTTTTGCTCCGTCTCGGTCACCGTAGAAAGAACCCGATTTCCACCTGATTTCTTAGGACAGTTGTACGAAATATGATCGATGCTCCCGCAGATATAACATTGTCTATGCTTCTTTTTGTCCTTGTCCTTACCATTGGCGTTAGTCGGCGAAGATGACTTATACGTGTCGGACCGCTCTCGCTTTTGTCCACGAGGAAAGTTTTTTCCCGCGTTCTTATGCTTCACGAGACCAGATATGTTGCCCCTAGCTTCAGCATACTGGTCCGCTTATTTTGTCATATCATCTAGTATTTAAGGGTTACGTTCCTTTAGCCACAATATAAGCTCCGGAACAAATGCTTGTAGAAACTAGTTTCGCACAATCAGGTCTTTGAGTGCCTCATATGTCTTTGCTGTATTCGCCATTTCTCGCCATCGTTCCATGTAACTTTCGAGACGCACGCCGTACTGTGAACACGTTTCTCCCGATTCCGGCCTACACAGATATAATTTATTCCTATAACCTTCCTCGGTCAGCTCAAAGCGTTTTAACAATGCTTTCTTGAGTGTGTCAAAATCGAACGCCTGTTCCACAGGTAACCTTGTATACACGTCGAGTGCTCGCCCCTTAAGCAACGCGCCTAAGTTGGTCCCCCAACTACTCCTTTCCCACTTTTGGGCAGACGCATACTGCTCAAAACGCCTAATGTAAGAGTCAATATTGTCCTTATCCTGCTCGAAAGGTGGAAGTTTCGGTCCGCGCGTTGATGATTTCATACCACGGTCAAATTTGGACATGTTAGGCTTTTGCTCTACCTCTAACAGTTCAAGTTTCCGGCTATGTTCACGAACCGCACGCTCATCTCGTTCCTTCTCCATCTCCATCTTAAGCTGTAATTTCATGTCACGTTCCTGACTTTCGCGTTTTTCCTTGATAAGGTCGAGCTCATGCAATCGATCAGCCTCCGCAAGTTTCTCCTCGCGTTCACGTTGACGTTGACGATCCTCGCGTTCACGTTCACGCTCATCGCGTTCCCGCGCTTGTTCCTCTCGAACGAACTTGGTAAGTGCCTCACCCTCAAGTTTCATTTCAGTCCCTATATCAATTAATTCTTTTACATAAGACTTCTTGATTTTAAGTGTTATAACATTGACCAATTAAGCAAAATGGCATACACGTATATTTTAAAATCTTAATTTCCTAGTACTGGACATACGTCAACAATTACCCACATCAAAATAGACAATACAATCATCCCTCCGCTGCCACCAAAAATTGTAACGGGATGAGCGCTTGTCTATCTATGTAGATAATAAAACACTGACGACTATCCTACAGTACACATATATTTATTTACAATGACAAATAATGACTAAGAAATACATATAGCACCTGATTCTCACACCCTTTCACACCTTTGACAGAACACAACAAATTACACAGCAGAACTAAATTACATATGGGCTGTGATCCACTATTGCTGTAATTTATATATATATATCTAGCGTCAGTATCTATAGTCTACCACTGTACAAGTGGGCAGTATTCCACAAATGATGTACAATGTTAATTCCTTATCGGGTACCAGCACCGTCACACTTTACTAGTGGGCAGAGTTCCACTTTCAGCGTACAACGATACCAGTCACATGCCTTCACACTCCATAGCCGTGAACAACATCCATCATGAGTGAAGGTGGTATACATACTGGTCCTTCATTCCTCATCGGACAGCCTGGACCACTGGTTTACCTCATCAGTCACCTCGTGCACAGTCTTAGGCTAACCAAGACACACCATGACCTCATCGGAACCATCGGACTCAACAATATCGGGAATAAACTACAATATAATGAATACGATCTAATCACTAACTATTCCCTTTCATTTCATAACTTCAGTTTAATTATATTCAACAAAATAACACTGAAATTAATATATCAGTGGAAAATATGGCGAAGTCGCCTTGCGCGCAATACTATAAGCCACAATGTATGGTAAACACAAACGTCACGTGACCCTATAAAGCATACTGTACCCGTTTATAAACTATTCAGAAGTTATAAATCATATCTGTCTCTGCGGTACAGTGTTTTGTTCTAGTAAAACATGATATGCAATATGTCTACATGACAATATAGTCGCAACATTACAAACTATCCAAACAATAACAATCGCGCACCTGTACATACCTGTACGATAGCGACTCTATAAATAGATCAGCTTACGCCTACATGAATCTGCCCTTACGCGTTTCATCTGACTCCCGTCAATGAGATGAAACCCGTAAGGGCAGATTCATGTAGGCGCGAAACACGTAAACCAACCAACCAATCTTGTTTATGGCTTTTTATCTCACAGCAAATCATATAAAATAGCACATAAACTACAAAATACAAGTGCAATGTCCTGGTGGGTATAGCACTCAGCGAAAGCTGTGGTTTTCGTTATTCTATATCCCGTATATGCGTTCTTAGCAGGTAACGGTGACAATGGACCTGTTATTTTCACGTATTCAGGGTTAGGGTTGATCATGATTCTATCGCAGATTAGAACACGATTCGTTTGCAACGCGTGTTTTGATTGGATACGGACCATGTTCTAATCTGCGATAGAATCATGATCAATCGTGTTAAGCTCCTCCCATCGCACTTAAGCCACGCCCCGTTTCTAACAAAAACAATATGGCGTGAAGCTCGCCTCATAGCGAAATCCCGCTGATAAGGCTAGTAGGCAACAGAAACGACCGATGAAATGTATAATTTGTTGAATGAATTAAAAAGTAAAAAGTACACATTCCTTGTTCTTTCCTCCATTTATTACTTAAAATTTCGTTCCATCCGTGTGAAGGCATCTTTTTAGATCCGAAATCAAATGAAACCTTTCACATGTGTCGTATGCATTTACACAAAACTCTTCACAAATCTATACAAATAATCACCGATTTTGTCGATAAGCACAGATTGGTATGCATACTGACATGGAAATTTAAGAACTTGGTCAATATTAATCCAAATGTGTCGTATAAACTTTGGTAACAGGACGTTCACGAACAATCCAAATATTCAGCCTCGTCAACATACAGATCGAGCGCTCGCCAGTATGGGCGGGGTCAAATGACCGACTTTTGAAAGCTTCTTTCCGATTGGTCAGTCCACTGCGGAATGACACGTCGCCAGTTCAGGTCACGAAGTATTTTACTACGTACTTTTAAACAAGGAAATACAATGTTTCTAAACATATTAGCGTGGTTTATTTGTTAAGGTGTGTTAGAATGGGGATAGTACGTTGTTTTTCGTGTCTATACTGGCGATTAGAACATGAAATTTGGTTTAAACTCTCGACCTATCGGTCTCGAGTTCAAACCCAAATTTCATTTACTAATCGCCAGTATAGCCACTCAAAACAACGTACTATCCCCTAATTAGAACATGGTCCGTATCCATTAAAACACGCGTTGCAAACGAATCGTGTTAGAATACTAAATAGAACTATGTACAGTTTATATTGATGGATTTAACTTCTTAACATGTTTTTGAAATGTAATGATAAACTTGTCTTGTATTTGGTGGCCTAAACAGTGTAATATAAATTAATATAATTAATATACATTGACGGTTGTATGTTTAAAAATTGTAATATAATTGAAATGTAATCATTATGTATAAATAGTGAAATACTCGATTGTGAACTCTTATGTAGTGCTGTTTTATTCTATATTATCTGTTTGAAAGTGTAATATTTAAATGTAAACTTTAAACCCCCAAAAAGTATCAAAACCTTATTTATACCCAACATATACAACAAAGCTACATGTCACACAGGTAACTTTCACACTGGTAACTTTCACACAGGTAAGTTACCTGGGGGGTAAGTATGAGACAGACTATAATTGGTTTGCCATTTTCTTCTTAAATCAAGACTTTCCTTTGTTATATAAAAAGTGGGGGAAACGAGAACACCCCCTTGAGGCGCTACACATATAATAAAAACTTACCTAGAATTATATATATATGAGAAACGATATTCAGCTATATTAATAAAGCTGAACAACGTTTCTTATTTTAACCCACCATGGGTTATTATTTTAAACTATTATTATATAAATATTATATTATTTTAAAATCTTATCTTAAATCGACATGATTTAAGTGTTATTAACACTTAAACCATGGTGATTTTCATCTGAAACGTTTCGTTCTATGGGTGTCATTTTCCATTTATTTAAATGTGTATTATTTAATGTAATCAACTTCAGTGTTACGGTTACCCGTCTGTCCTTGAATAAATATTATTCTCATTTTTGTGTTTATATTTTCCCCCCAAAAAAGTGAGAAATGGGAAGTTGTTTTTGTTTAACTGTTGAATTTTCTGAAACTGACTTGCTAACAGAAACTCATTTAAATTTCTTATGAAATAATCGCATTCAAAATCAGTAGTAAAACTAATCTGTTTGGCTGGAGGGCTGCCCGTACAGATATAGATCAGTATGATGTTTATGTATGTCGGCAGAAACCATTCTTTTAAAAAACTTCTGTTGTCGACTAAAAAATGGAAGACAAAAATGTCATGTCTGAGAATCAGTCACCCGTGAAACCGGTATCGATAGTAAAGGAACAGGGTTCATATTTAACCAGCTTTGTCAGTTTGTTTTGTAAATTGTTTTTAATTTGTAATCTTTTAATAGTGCATCAAAATTAAACCTTTCAAAAGTTGTGGAATTAAAAAGGATCTACAAATATGGCTTTTGATAAATATATATGGGATTAAAAAAAACTTTCACTGGTTTCAACTGATGGCATCGTAATTCAACTATTTGAACACGCCATTTACTGGGGGTCGCTGTACCAGACACAATTAATACTTTAGTTTCCGAAAAGAATTGTTTATCGCCAATACTGGGTAGTCACGCCAGCCTTTCACTGGTATATTTGTACAGACGCCATTCGAGGTTGAGGCGAACACGAACTCGATTTGAGACAAAATCATAGTTAACACCATAATTTAAGTTCTATTTTTAAAGAAATGAGAATGCAAAAATCAGGTCGCGATGAAGTTTTGCAGGTAATCCGACTGCAGTTGTTATCGACACTTTCAGAGGCCTCTGTATCAACAACATTTGTTATCGACTCTTACAGAGGCCATTGTGTCAACAACATTTGTTATCGACACTTTCAGAGGCCAGTTTGTCAACAACATTTGTTATAGACTCTTACAGAGGCCATTTTGTCAACAGCAGTTATTATCGACACTTTCAGAGGCCTCTGTGTCAACAACATTTGTTATCGACTCTTACAGAGGCCATTGTGTCAACAACATTTGTTATCGACTCTTACGGAGGCCATTGTGTCAACAGCAGTTGTTATCGACACTTTCAGAGGCCTCTGTGTCAACACCAGTTGTTATCGACACTTACAGAGGCCACTGTGTCAACAACATTTGTTATCGACACTTACATAGGCCATTGTGTCAACAGGAGTTGTTATCGACTCTTACATAGGCCATTGTGTCAACAACAGTTGTTATGGACACTTACAGAGTCCATTGTGTCAACAACAGTTGTTATCGACACTTACAGAGGCCATTGGGTCAACAGCAGTTGTTATCGACACTTACAGAGGCCATTGTGTCAATAGCAGTTGTTATCGACTCTTACTGAGGCCATTGTGTCAACACCAGTTGTTATCGACTCTTACAGAGGCCATTGTGTCAACAACATTTGTTATCGACTCTTACAGAGGCCATTGTGTCAACAACATTTGTTATCGACACTTACAGAGGCCATTGTGTCAATAGCAGTTGTTATCGACTCTTACTGAGGCCATTGTGTCAACAGCAGTTGTTATCGACCCTTTCAGAGGCCATTGTGTCAACAACAGTTGTTATCGACTCTTACAGAGACCATTGGGTCAACAGCAGTTGTTATCGACTCTTACAGAAGCCATTGGGTCAACAGCAGTTGTTATCGACTCTTACAGAGGCCATTGTGTCAACAACAGTTGTTATCGACTCTTACAGAGGCCATTGTGTCAACAACAGTTGTTATCGACTCTTACAGAGGCCATTGTGTCAACAGCAGTTGTTATCGA